ATCATTCATGAGTAAGTTTATTATGTGCTCTCAAGCAAATGCCAATAAAACCTTTGTACAATGCCACATTTGCATATGCTGTACACGTTTCTCAGGCTAAGGAAATACTGATTTAGACACTTCTGAGATGTGTTAGGTTACCCTGAATCCAGTTATGCCATCAGTGGAACTTGACAATGATCTAGTATATCGATGCATAATATGTATATCATGAATAGCAAGACTAGGGATCCTTATAGTAATTTTCATACTGTAAGTTTGTTTGATCTTCATCAGCACTGCTGTCTCTGTCTTGTCACTCAAACAGAAAGCTGAAAAAAGAGATACATGATGTAGAGACACTGCTGAAGTTGGTTAAAGAGGTTGCAAGTGCTGCATTAGAAAAACAGTTGAAATCTTTAGTCAGTATGATACTGGTTATTCAGATCAAAATATGCATTTTCCATAAAGAAAAAAATCAGAGGCAAGTCCTCCAACTTAGTCGTGTATTCCAACTGCCTCTGAAAGTAAAAGAGATTACTCTTGTGGGAAGAGTAACTTCTCTATTCAGCTGTAAAAAAAGAGCAGTACCAGATCTTGCCTGGCACAGCCTTCCTTGGCTAATTATTACTTGCACCAGGACCCCTATTTGTGAGAGCTCTGTTCTTACTCCGCTTCCTTCTTCGAGTCCTAGTTTCGTGCTGGTAGCTGACCAGCAAGTTTTGCAGCATCACCAGTACCTACCAACAAAGCAGCTGATCCACACATGGCAAGAAGTGGGCTCCATGCTGATCCACAAAATCCACAGGCTCATCTCAGAAGTACAAGGCGTATTACGTGCAGAGTGAATATGAGTAAGGTACATAAATATGGTTTTGAAGAATCTACTCTGCAAGAAAAACATTATAATGTCCCTGGGGAAGTGTCTTGTGTGTGAGAGAGAGAAAACCACTTCTGGTGGTACCTGGCCAATGATAATTCCTTAGAACAGCGAGTACATTTCACTACCATAGGAACATTAGAACGTTAGAAATGCTGTTTGCCTGTCACATGTATGAGGAAAAGATGCATAGGAAAAAATGTATCATTTTATGGAAAAATAATCTGTTTTAAGAGATGACAGATTTCCTGTTATTTGGCTTTAAAGAAACATCACACAAAACATTGAAAATTGACTTTAGAAGTATTGACTGCAAACCTTACAGGATCTGTCTTCATAAAGTCTCTGTTTTTCTTAGTTTTTGTGTATTTCCCTTGGCATGAAAAACAACCATTGTGCCACAGTCAACTTTTGTTAAAGTTCATGCCAAATCAGTACCTACCTTAGTATGGCATCCAGGGTCTCAGAGAGTTGCAGAATCTTCTCACTCAGTTCCTTTTGACACTGGGTGTGGTGGAGGAGGGAACTTGACTAAAGAAATCCTGGCAAGTTCAGGGATTATTTCTGTTCCACCAGCCTGTCTTATCTTCACACCTGCTGCACACAGCTTTTGTATTTTTTTGTGCAGTTTGTACCTCTTTGTACACTGATGGCTGCCTGGTAGCATGCTCAGTGTTGCCACCCTTCAGTTCCTTGGGTTTGTATTTTTAACATTTTGACCTTATCTGCTTTTTTTTTTCCCTTTCATATTTTTCTCCATGAGCACTTTAGTCTTCATCAAGCCTCTCTCTCTTTCCTCCCCTTTAAAGTGGAGGAGTGGGGACAGTTTAGTTTTAGGTTTTTTTCTGCAGCGGATATGTTAACAAGTTATAGGAAAATCAAAACTACCAAGGACCAAAGATGGACAGCTGGGCAGGAGTCAAAACACTTTCGTTTTTTTAAGAGCAATGTTCAAGTATTCAGTATTGAAGAATATCCAGATATGTTCTGGTAAGTTTTGGGCATTTATTTAGCAATTTATTTAGCAATTTTTTTCTCATGTAACCAAATGTGCACAAACACATTTCCTAAGGGTACCAGCTACTCAAAATGATCAATACATTGCACTTTTTGCCTCCTTAAGCTACATTTTTGAATATCCCAACATCTGAGAGTCAATTTTACTCAAACAAATTAATTCTTCACACAGTTTTTGCAAAATGTATCTGCTATAAAATATTACCCTTCCTTGGACATTATCACTGCTTACAGAATTGGAAGAGAAGCTCCTCTAATTATAGGAATAAAAAAGTGCTAGCAATTGAATTTTTTTTTCCATGCACAGAAAGCCTTTCCCTTCAGGACTTGCTGGCCAAACATTTCTAGGCCAATTATACTGATGTTACAACACAGCATTGTAATAGGAGTTGGTTTCATCCTTAACCACAGAAAGGCTACTGCCTCTTCATATTACTATATAGATGTAGAATGCCTTTGATTCTTTGCTAAAGAGTGTTCTCTCTAAGTTACATATTGTTTGGCATGCAGATCCTTTGAACACATCTCCATAAAAAAAAATCTTACTTTGCTTCCAAGTCAAATGAATTATATATGTTTAACACAGAAAATGTAGCCATGGTGTAAATGTCTGCTTGTGAAGTATTTCAGATATCATTCCAGAATATTACCAGTAATTTTAAATCTACTGGTTTATCTTTTCAGTTATTACAAGTTTTCTTTGTAAGTTTATGTACAGGATACAAATAACTGTGTTGTTGCAGCGTTTCTTCCAAAAAGCCAAATGATAATAAGTCGAATGCTTTACTGAAATCTGATTAAATTACATCAACAAGCGAAACCTGCAGCCTCATTAAGAAAACAAAGTCTGTTTGCCAGGCTCTACTTTTCTGCCAGGATATAGAGCTTTTTTAGCAGAAGCCCATGCTAGTTAGAATTACCTGTCTTCTTTTAAATTATTTGTTAACTGAGTTTTATATTGGCTATTCTGCATTTTGCCTGTGACCAATGTCACATTGGTAAACGTTGGTAAACTACTATTATCCCATTTAATTTTTTAAGGTATTAGAATAATACTAGCTTTATCCTCCTTAAAAAAGTCTTAGTGTTCAAAAAACTTCTGAATATGAATACTGATGATGCATCCAACTTCATGACATATTCATTCCAAACTCTCTAATGCCAGTTTTCTTTCAGTAACTGAAGTTGAACCGTCCTCCTACATTATCATTTGAACAGAAAACAACTCTTCAATACCATACAACATAATTACAGCAGCTACCATCTTCCCAAATGCACAGAAGGAATATATATATTTAACATTCAAAGTTTGTCACTAATTATGGTTAAAGCTGTCAACTCCATTCCTTAATAGGGTCTTCTTACTATTCAGATCCATTTTCTGTGTTCTATTTGCAAAAAGCTTCCATTTTTCTCATTTTAATTCTGTTGACCATATGTATATTTCCCTCATAACCTTTTACTTCCCACAGTAATTTTCTACAATTCCTAGCTTTCAGTGTACATGTATGATACCACATTCTTTCTTTTTTCACAGATGTTTGCCTTGTAAACTACCCCGGATTTTCAGCAAATGTATTCCTTAATTGTGGAATTATGGCTATGAGAGTATCTGCACTGACATCCTTAAACCGTTTCCAATTCTCATTCTCCCATTTCAGATTAAATTCTTTCTCCCAGTAGAAGTATCTTATAATAGTATTCACCTTTATAAAATTAGCCCTTTCAAAGGATTAAGTATATATATTATTGGTTTGGACTTGATTCTGTTTGCACATTAAAAATGTGATCAAATCATTATCAGTTACACCTAAGCTATGGCTAATTTTTAGTTCTGTGATCAATTCCTTTTCATCTGACAAGATTAGGTCTAATCTAGCATTCCTCAGTGTTAGATGCAACACCTTTTGAGTTAGGAAAATGACATTTTAAATATTTTGAAATTCCAAGTACATTTTAACACTGGCAGCATGAGACCTTCAGCATATGTCACTCAGATTGAAATTCACTCGGTACAGCAGTGCTTTCCCTGTATGTTGTAGGTGGGTAAGGCATAGGTCATGCTGTTCTCTAGTGTGATTTGATATCAGCTAAGTACCCTGTCAGCTTCTGACTTATCCGTTAGAACATTGACCCATAAACATTCAAGATCTTTTGCTTCCAATTGCCATCAACTCAGAAAAGGTAATGCCACTTTTGAAGTGCTTTCTGTCCACTTGATCCTTCCAAAATAGATTATAACAATTGATTTTGACATTTTTGTTTTCCAAACAGTTTTAGCAATAAAAACTAGGTCAAATCTGTGTTAAAAAGTGATTCTGCTGTTGGTGTCAAGTTTTCAACATGAAAAGAGAAGTTACTGAAAAATCTCTGCTCTTTGTGTTCTCTTGTAGTTTTGATTTGCACTTAGCAAAAGCTCGTTGGTTCCTTCTCAATATTTCCACCTCTGACCAGCCCCTTGACTCCAAGGAGACCAGTCACTTAGAAGAACAGCTCCTTTTGGACATTTAATTAAGCAGCAGGCTCTCATCAACAGAAAGTGACAATGTTTTCCACAAACCAAACATCTTCAGGTTATGTCACTTACTCAGATATTCAGTCTAGTATTTCTTCTACTTGCTTTCCCCCTACTCAGAAGTCCTGAAGGATGTTGGAGAGGATCACAGGTCCTGAAAGGACAGAGGGCAACAAAGATGATTAAAGAACTGGAGCATCTTTTTTACAAGGAGAGGCTGAAGGAGTTGGGCCTGTTCAGCCTTGAGAAGAGGCAACAGAGGGGACCATCAATGCATATATGTATCTGAAGAGAGGCTGCCAAGAGGACGGATCCAGGGTCTTCTCCGTGGTGCCAAACAATAGGACGAGAGGCAACGGGCAGAAACTGATGCACGGGAAGTTCCACCTGAATATGAGGAAGAACTTTTTTACTGGGTGGGTGACCAAGAACTGGAACAGATTGCCCAGAGACATTGTGGAGTCTCCCTCACTGGAGATACTCGTGAACCATCTGGACACAATCCTGTGCCATGTGCTCTGGGAGGACCCTGCTGGAGCAGGGAGCTTGGACCAGATTGACCCACTGTGATCCCTTCCAGCCCGACCCATTCTGTGAAAGAAGAAAGCCTGTTCTCTGCAGGTGTCCATGTGTCATCTATGACACTGCCCACACTTCCTTAGGTATCGGTACAATATCGGCCTGGCTCTCTGCTTGCCAGCTGCAGAAACTCGCTCAGCCTTGAGGGATGCTCCCGTTTGAGACAACTCATTCCAACTGAGCTCCCAGAAAGCACACCAAGCTCTCGAGCCGTGCCCATTTCTCCCAGCTCCCATATTTTCCTTGGGATAAAGCGTACTTCGGGGCTCCCGGTCCCGCCGCCCCTGCCCTGAGGGGATCGCCGGGCCGGTTCCTCCCTCAGGCCTCCCGGGGGGCCCGGCCCCCAGCGCCGCCCTTCCCCGTCGCCATGGCGAGGCCGCGGCGTCCCGGGCCGCCCTGAGGCGCCGCGGGGAGCTCGTCCTGCCGCCGCGCCATGAGCCCAGGTCCGTTCCCCGGGGCACGCCAGCTAATGTGGTTTATAATTTATTTGTAAAGAGGCCGAGGCAGTGCCGGAGCCAAGGGTGAGGGTGTGTGTCGTACGGGGCCGGTTCGCAGGTGAAGGGAGAAGCCGGAGCGTCCCCGGGCGGTGGTTGGGAACAGGGAGCAGCGGAGGGCGGCTGCATTCCCGGAGCCACACGGACGGGGCACGTTGGGGCCGTGGCCTCGTCCAGCTTACTAGGAACAAATAACATCCATCGCGCTGGCTATAGATTTCAAGAAAAAAAATTTTAATCAATTTACTTCATTACTTTCAGTAATAAAGGACGCTCTGACGTCCTTTTATCTTGGAAGGTGCCCGTAAAGACGGCTGCGTGTAGCCACTCCTCGGCTGCTTCCAGCCCTGGGAAACCTTCAGCCTCCAGTCAGGTCTGAGCACGCCTCGGAAAAAATGTGTGGGAAGGGCTGAGAGGTGTCCAACAGGTTTACTGAAAGGTGCCAGGAAAGGCACAGTTCCAGTCAGCTGGCGTTTTTCCTTCAGCTTCAGTACACCTTGGAGCGATTCCAGCCCGCGGGGAGATTCCCTCCATCATGTGGTTAAACAGAGCACTTCTTCAGGAACAAACTGCAGTGCCTTGTCTTCCGTGAATTCCGTGGGTGTTTGATTAAGTAAATGAGATGTGGCTTGGGCTTTAAAATAAAGGAGTAAGATGTAAAAGGGTTAGCAGTCAGCGACGAAAATCTATATGACTGTAATAGAAGGGTGTGTTGTTGATGCCTTCTGCCTTGTGTCTCTGTGGTTGTAATTTACCTGTAAGAGTCACAGTTACCTTGGACATTAGGGAAATGCACCCTCCATATCACTCTGAAAGCAACCTACCACCTCTGAAGTAAGAGTTAAATTGGCATTGTTATGACGCAGGGTGTTTTTTTTCTTTCTCAAGCTTTGAGTTTGAAATAGGAGTCAGGGCAGTAGTTTTCATCCTTGCAAGGCAGTAATGTAACTAAGTAAAATGTCTGCATACGTGCCTCATGTTCGTGTGAGACCTGTGTGCTAGACAGTCTGCTTTCCCAGAGACTTGATTTCCGTGGGGTGGGAACCTGGAGCGCGTGAGCCAGCAAGGAGATGTCTGCTCCAGCCAGGTGCCCTGGGGTGCAGCCTGGAGCCTGTGACGGGCCACAAAGTACAGCTCCCCATTAATAGCTTTTCATGGTTACAGTGGCTCTACCGGGGTCTCCTCTCAGCTGCTTCCCCCTGCCTTTCCTGCCCCATGGCTGCAGCCAGCCAGCCCCCCTGCCTTGCTGGGTTCATCAGCTGCCATTAAGGCATGTATGTTTTCTTTTTCTCACTTAATACCTCAAAACAAAGAGGCTTGTAGAAAGCTTTGCATCTTCTCTGGGCTTCATTATTGTTGTTCCAAAGTTTAATTACTATTTCTCACTGAATAGCATCTTCCCAAAAAGGGGTTTTCCTTTCTATATAGTTCCTGCACACAAACCTGTCATTTTCTATAAGAAGTGTAATCTTTTTTAGTGATGAATGACCCATATGTTTTTATTCTATTGATTTTTTATTTTCCATGATGCACTTCTGTAAAATATTCTGTCTCTGATTGCAGATTAGATTATTTATAAATAATATTCTTTCTGTAACAAATGTTATCATTATACTAGGTCCAAAAAGAATGACTTAAGAGAAATATCCTATCCTGTCATCTTTTCAACCTATAATTGTCTTTGTTATTCAATTCTAAGTAACACAATTAAAAAAATTACTTCATTATAACTGCAGAAAAATACTGCATCAGTGAAATGGCTTTTGATCCCAGAAAGGCTAATATAAAATATCTGCTCGTCTGATGCTGATCATTCAGTAACAAATTGATTCATATCTAATAACTATTTCCCATAACATAAGTTTTGTTTCACTAAATGTTAAATTTCACTAAATAGTTAAATTTTTTCCCCCCTTTTTATTATATTCTGTTTTTCCATCCCTATTAAAAGTTTGTGCCTTCAGGCCTACCAGCAGGGCATGCAATACCTACATTAAACCAAATTTAAAAGTAAGGGTGCTCCTGCTGCTAACGTCCTCAGATCACAGACATGCAAAATGAAGGAACTGGCAGCTGAAACTTTAATGGTAGGAAGTGTAGACTGAATACTTGGGGAAAAAACACAGTAGCTCCATATGACAAAAAAGTCCTATTAGCATTTATGTACTTCAAGATGACAAGCTAGACGATTCTACATAACTGTGGGGCTTTTGGCTTTTGTTTTAAGTAAAATCCTGTGTTGGAGTATAGCATTGCTTACATTCTTTCTTCAAAAGATTTTTACTCTTATGATTATGTAGTATTTTGAACATTAATACAGTGCCTGTCGTTGCATTGCACACTGTATGTTCCATCATTTGTTCACCTTGTGTATTAATCTAAAATATTGTTAATACTTGGACCTAGATAGCTTGAGGAAGCACAGGGAATCCCATGCAAGTATGGTTCCTGAATCAGCTGTCCCTGTGCAAATCAAAAGCACCTCAATGAAGGAGAGAAAACCACTGAAAGTTAGATCATGACCATTCCTATGTGTTATGTCCTGCTGAAGCAACGCTGAGGAGATTTGTGTGGAACTGGAGGTGTGTTTTACATGTAGTCCACTGGAAATAAAACAGTGGACTGGGAAGCAGCACGAGAAGGATAAGAAACTGCACTGCTTGTCTGCCTTGAAGACCGTTGTTTCAACTAATGTTGGTTTTGTTTGTTTGTTTCAGTTAAAATGAATGTGTTGCCTCAAGCGATCCTACAAAGCCCAGGGGAGCATCCCAGGTTCGTAAAGCAGCCTGTTTGCCCCCCATTAGACTTTGCAAGGTATGTACCTCTTTTCTTTCAAAGCAGCATTTTCACTGTGAATAGCTTCAATCAGCTATGCCGAGGTGACAAATTCTGTTTGCTTTTCTGCAATATTTAAAACTACAAAAATCAGAGGCAAGGAAATTCTCTCTTAGGAAAGTTTCAGAATTAAAAAAAAAAAAAAAAAAAAAAAAAAAAAAAAAAAAACGTGTTCTGTTTAAGGTAGGTATTTCATCCTAATTCTTCAAAAGCCCTTTAAAAGCCACAGAAAGTTATTTTCATTTAGCACTGATACAAATGTAGGTCATTAAAAATGTACTTATTTAAATGAAAAAAACCCAAGATTCTTTTGTTTCATTCATGTACAGTTTTGCAACTCTCAAAATATAATTAATAAAGCTGGCTTGAAAAACGTTATACTGTGCTTAATAGCTGAGAGAATTAGCAGCAGTGGCATAATACAGTCCATCTTCTTCTTGCACATTCCTGTGTGTCTTCCTGTTCCATTGCACTCATTTCCCCTTTTTTGTCCCCCTCAGTGAGTACTGGTCTCTCAGTTTCTCCTCTGCTCTTTTTCCTGGAATTGCCTCCATTTCAGAAAGAATTATGGTTATTTTCTCCTTCCTCTTTTTTTTTTTCCTTTTTTTTTTCCTCTGATCCTAGCATTCCCCTTAGCCTTTGGCTAAAAGTTCTGGGACATCTCAGAGTTAAGCAGCTGCATGTCCATGTCTAAAAGCAGTAAGGATCCATAAACATCCTATCCTTGTGCCCAGTCTTTCCGAGGGGCTCAAACTGAGACATGTCCTCTCACTCATTGATAGAGTAAGGACATGTCTTACTGTTCATTTTTTTTTAAATCTTTTATGGCTGGAGCTGTGTTCTGCAGCCATCACTTTTTCCAGTAACTGCAGTGCTGGAGAACTCATTCCAGAGGGAGGCAGGAGGCTTGTTCAAGGAGATCCTTCTGCGGGAATCCTACTGAGGTTGTGCCTGTTTGCATAAAAGGAATGTCTGATTCTGTAATGGCCTAGACCATGCTGCAGGTGCCTAGTGATGAGAACAAGACAAGCTCTGTAATTTTGTTTTGTAAGAGATTTTGAGAAAGCTGGAGTCTGAGTTAACAGCATAGGCAGTGGGGATAGAAAATTGTGTGAGAATTAGTTTGGTCCTTTATGCGACTCCGTTCCGTTATTTGATTAAAAACCAGATGTATTTATCATTAAATTTAATTTTAGAAAAAACACCAGTATCTATCTTTTTCCTGTGGAGACTGATAACAGAAACAGTTATAGGAAGACATAGGCAAAAATGTTAATTCTGGGATAGGTGCCCACTGGATTAAAATATATTTGTCTTCATAAGTGAGTGATTTAAAATTAAATAGGAGCAAATTTACAGGTGAAGTGGACTTTTTAAATGCACTATTTATGAAATATAGTGAGTCATTATGGAAACACTGGAGAACTAAGGCTAAAACAGCTTGGAAAAAGCAAGTGACAACCTGTGGAAGAAAAGAAAGAATGCCTTTTAGCCAGTGCTATTGTCACCTCAATTCTCTGTGAAAAAACAATGTCCATTCCAATTCACAGTCTGAATTCTTCACATAAATTAATTGTATTGGTTTTAATTATCATTGCATATAACAAACCATTTTAAATAATGATGGAATTTTCTAGTGTGTTTTTTCCTATGTATTATCTACCTGCCTTTTCTGTGTTATTGTTACATTAACATCACTGATAATAACAGCCAGAATGAGATAAGTATTTATTATTTTCAGTAAGTTCAATTCTTTATGATGGGTGACCGTGTTTGTGGTTGCATCAATCCAAAACAGGTTATTGCAGAACTGATGTAAACAGTAATTAGGTTGCAAGTTTTTGCTTATGTTTTTTTTTCCCCTTGGCTGTAGTTGTCTTTCAGCTTGAGGGCGTAACCAATAAGAAGTCAGAAATTTACACCTTGGCTATAAGGCAGGCGACTTTTTAAATTGTATATGCTTCTGAGGGCTTTTCCCATGATTTTTTTAAGTTAAAATACCTTTGTGAAGACAATGACAAGGCACCAGGCTTTCCTTTGTTCCAGTTTGAGATGGTTTTTAACTGTGGTGCAGATAAATTTGCACCAAGGTGATAGTGATGCTTAGAAATTGCCTCTTGTAGTCGACTGTTTCAGTTTGGGGGTTTGGACTTCCACCCCACCAAATATCTGATGTGTTCTCTCCCATGCTACTGATGTGCAGAAATCTCGTTTTTGCAACCTTAAAGTACAAAGGTCACCCAGGGTTTTTATTGTGTTGATATTTCATATTTATTTGCCCAGAAATATTGGGTTTCAATTTTTCAGTTACCTCATATAAACTTATAGTATCTTGAAATATATTTTACATCCGTTTAAAATAAACAATAATTACCTTATCTTCGTGATCCAAACATTACATATCTCTCTAAATTGTGACTATTTTGGTGTTAAAATTTTGATACTGCTTACATTTTGGTATTGATTATAACTGAATTTTTATGGCAATATCCCTAAGGTGTACATTTAGCAAGATGAGCACAACTCATCTGGACTGTGTTACGTGCAGCCTGGAAGCACCAGCCTCTGCTGGTGCCACTCAGCAGTAGCAAATTCTGGAACAGATTTAAATGAACTGTTTGTGACGGAAGTTTTCACTGCTACATTGTTTTAAATACAGATATGTCAAAATATCTCTGCTTTGCTTAGCTATTTTGTTTTCATTTAAGCGAACTTCATGAAGTGTCTTTGGTATTCTCAGAGCAATAAGAAGTGTGATGCTTATATTAGCTAACATTATGAAAAGAATTTACTCTCATCACTGTAATGAAAGACAGCAGTGTAAATACAGACAAGGAAAGAGGAAAGTAATAGATTTATGTGGAACACTAATGTTGAATTTCTTTTATCTCTGAGTGATTAACCAGACAATCTTTATGCTCTTTTACAGAAGAATAAAAATAAATTCACATTGCTTTTATAAATATAATATCCTCTACAGTCAGGATTTCCGATTCTATTTAAATACACTTTATGGTCAGTAAGTGCATATTATCCCTTGAAGGCATCTCTTGTGTATCAGAGTGGAGATGCAAAGTGATGATGGCTGAAGTGAAAGGTGAAACGATGCACAGTTCAAATATTCAAATTAGATCCATGCATCCTGAAATTTGCCCTTTATTTTAATGCCCTTTGGATTACCCCCTTAGTGGACCACCTTTTGCAATATGCTGCTCAAACTGTGGGAAGTCAAGAGCAGTATTAAAAGATTGCATTGCACCAAGGAAAACATTTTGAATTGGATTTGGGAATTTTATTGTTGATTTGTTTTCTTTTTTTTTTTTAATTTTGAAAAAGTTAAATATGAAATAGATTGGACCACTCTGGTCCATACCGATAATGCAAAAATGTAATGGTTCTGGTTTTAGGAAGCAGTTTAAATATGGATAGCTTAATCAATTTTTATTGATTTAGCTAATACACAGTTTCTTCTAGTTCAGACTGAAATATCGGATAACCAGATCCTGTAAAGCTAATACCATCTCTGTTTTCTTTTAGAAATAAAGATTTGAAATAGCTACAGACCAAAAAATTAAAAAGATATTTGTATGTGTTTATAGAATGTCTGATATATTACTTTGTCAATATTTCAGTATTTAGCTCTACTTGGCAATGATAATATATTATACATGCTGCAGGAGTCTATGTTAGCACCTTACAGTGTTTCTTTTAATTTTTTTCATTTAAATTTAGGATTCATTTGATCAAAGACAAAGATGGCATAGATGATTATTTGGCGAAGAATATCAAAGGGTTGTCAAAACAAGAAGCTGCAGCGTAAGTTGGCTTTTTCGAGGCATTTTAACATCCATAAGTTTATTGTTTCCTTTGTTTCTAGTCATCATAATCATTTAAATTTAAAGTTCCCTAGGCCCTACCCTTTTTAGTTGAACTTGGCATTTAAAAAATTGAAGTTGGTATTAAATAATGATGGTTCATTTCTCCTGATGTTAAATATATCAAAGCGTTTAAATATCTCCTTGGGTTTACTAATTTGGGTATTTACCAATTATATCACATTTGTAACATTATTGTTAAGATTATGTCAGTAATTATATTTAAACTTGTGCTGCCTTTTTGTTTTGTCTTCTTCTCTTCTTTTTTTCTGAGCCTTTGTGAAATATCTCCTTTGGGGTGGAAGCTGAGTATACCGACATACACGTTCTTGTAATTTTGAACTACTATTTAGCCAAGCCCAAGTGCTGGCTTCTGTGGTGAAGCATTTAATGCCCCATTAGTTATTTAAAAAAACAGTGAATGAAAGAAATCTAGATAACTTTTGATTTCTTACAGCTGAGGTATTTACATTTAGAAGTTACGAGAGACCGTGACTGACTTATTCTTCTGCAGTCTTTTAACAGATCTGGGGTTCAGCACCATCAAAATTAATGAAAGAATTCTAACAAATCTGGATTGCTGGTTGCTTAAGTGAGCTGATTTATTTATTCCAATATTTAAATAATAAAAGGATGCATATACATGGGCTCTAGGCACCTTAACAATTAATATTGCAAGATCACCCTTGCTGCATAAAAACTTTCTATCAATCAGACAGGAATTCAACCAGCTAGTTTCTTGCAAAACATGCTTCTTTTCTACATCCTAGCCTAGGAATGTGCCTGCAAGCCTTTCCTAGGAACTTTCAAATTAAAATCTAGAAAATTACCAAATTTGAGTTGAGGTAATAACTTCAGTGGTGTCCTAAAATCATAGCATATGACACTCAGCCAGCAGACACCCTTTCCTTCTTTTGGGATACATGTCCAATTCACTTTTATTTTTACAATGGCAACATGGTAAAGCTAATAAGTGTTCTGACAGTGAGTACAAAGATTGTAATGTATCTGGTTTGATGATCTAGGACAGCAAACTCATACCCATTCTTTTATTTTTGAGCTCAGACTAGGTTCAAAGATGGTAGCCTAAAGATTAGTTCAATGATGGGGTTGGGCGGGAACTTGTCAATACATCATCCCAGTGTGTGCAAAGTTCAGTTTGTTCCTTTGTTGCTGTAGGAGAGACTGTTCTCACGGTCACAGTCTGTGGGAGAGAGCAGCCCAACAGCGTCAGGGAAGTGCGTAAGGTGAGGCAGTGGGAAGTGCTGCACTGCTGCTCTGTCAGGGCAGGTGATGGATGTGGGACAGTTACCTTTGATCACATCATCATGCTAGTGGTGCTGGGTGTCAGAACTGGTGTAAATACTCCCTGCTTAAAGGGGAGAAAACAAAGATTGCTCGGGTGACTACTCAGTTCTGTAAGGAACAGCTCCTTCCTCAGCAAATACTTTGTTGACAGAGGTCCTGGCCCCTGAATTAAAGGTGGTGTAGTTGCTCTGTGAGGAGGGAAGAAGTGTCAGACCTCAAGGAGCAAGCAGAGAACTGGGTACACTCACTTATTGTCACCCTAGTCCCACACCAGCTCTGCAGGGCTGCTCTGCTCAGTACACTGCAGCAATTGTCTCAGGCTGACTTGCCTTCCCAGGGAGCTCTCAGTCTTCAACCCCAGTGGGCTTCTACACACCGTGCAAGGGACAGGAGTGTTCTCTCTGTGGTGATTACACAGGAAGTCACTGCTGTTTTAGGAAGGCCTTGGGGCTTCAAAGTGCATTTTGCAGCTCTGATTTGATCAGGTCAGCCTTTTACTGCCATTAAAAAACCCAAATGAACAAAAAAACCAACACAAAAGGTCCTATATGATTTTTCTTTTTATATCCAAACCCTGAGTCTGGAGGTCGTGGAACAGGAAACCAGGAAGGACATCCACAATGCAGTGAGAATTTTATCATCTGTTCTGCAATGCCTACACAAAGTGGGGTGTTCCCTTACAGTTTTGTAATATGCTGTTTTTCAAAGTTATCAAAGTTATCAAAGCCTCTTAGAAGATTAAACTGAAATATCATATGTATTCTGGTTTATTTCTATGGAGATTTTTAAAGTACCTCTTTTAAAAGGTTATGTTCATGTTCTGTATATTTAATTCTTCTTGAAAGTTTAGCTTTTGATAATAGGACAGCAGTTACAAAAGTTCTCTCTCTATATATATAATTTACTAATGCTCTTCCATAAACCTGATAAAATCATTTGAGAGCAAACAAATGGTAACAAACTAACTACACAGTTATATTAGTACTATGCTAATTTAGTTAGAAGAAACTAAACACATCAACTGCAATTTAAAACCAATTTATAAAGTAAGGGAATGCCATATGTGTAAATGATCTTCCTGAAATCAGTGTAATGCTTAGTATGTATGTCTCAGCAGACAATGGATGTTTTTATTTTAAAAATTATGAGAGATGATTTATGATATGCTGTGTAGGGATTTTTTTTAATATTGTGTCCATTCCAGAAGTAGATTATTGCACTTCTTTACAAAAGGACTGGATTTTCTTCTTTTGCCACCTCTGCTTTTGTTAACTTAATATGTCAGTGATTATTTTGTCAAGACAAGTTCTTGGAGCCATACTCCTGCTTAATATTATACACCCTTTTTTTTATATGTATGTTAGGCAGAAAACAAATTTATTATCTTCTAAATTAAGGAATGTCTGGGTAGTATCACGTTTATGGAAACAAGCCACATTCTTTAAAGCTCTTCCCTAAAAATTGTACCCTTCATAATATTCTTTAAAATGAAGATAAACTAGTTTCTTCATAGTTAAAGGGAAAAAAGGTTGCAGTTATTCTTGTATTGTACAGCATTTGATCCAAACTTCATCAAAAGAGAATTCCATTAAGTGTGCTCATGATATAACCTCTTTTTTTTTCCTGTGGAAGAATGTGGAGTTGTTTTTCAGGGTTTTTTTTGTTTGTAATAATTTTTTTATCCCAGGTTGATATGACAGAAGTGGAAGAAAAAAAATAGTGCTTAAGAAAGATATTACTTTAATGATATTAAAACAGGATATTGCTTTGCTTTTTCATTGATTTTGCTTTGCTTCCTTCTCGAAGAGCTTAACTTGAAACAAGAAGCGAATGTGGTGCAAGAAGGTGGAAATGGAAAAAAAGTAAAGTTTCTTGTTAATGCAGAATGTGAGTGCTTTCTTGCCACAGAACTGGGCTTCTGTAAGCTTCTGAGGAGGTTGGCTGACTCCAGTGGCCTTTAGTGTGCTTTCCCTGATACCTTCTGTTCTTAGTCTTGACTCACCAAGTCATCAATGGCTCAAAATCGGATTGCAGTAAAAATTAAAAATATTCCTTATGACCGAACTAAGAGTCAAAAAGTTCACAGTGAACTGTGAAATAAAGCATTTTTCATCAAGAGATTGATTCCAGAGTTCAATCTTCAAATGAGTTTGGAGCCTAGAATGGGCCAGAATTTGATGTTGTTGTTGCTGCTTCCTGATCTTTTTGTCATGGTAAGAAAGATAAGTAACAGTTCTCTTTTCTTCATACAAATGAAAACTGTCCAAAGATGACCATATCATTAAAAAAGAATTAAAGACTAGAAAGAGAGACTTTGAAATCTATTTAATGAGAGGAACAGCTTTGCTTAGCAGTAACAAAAAAATATTGCCTTAGTGATGTTACTAGATGTATTCTCAATACGTTTGAATTGGATGATTGAGTTGTACTGTCCTCAAAACTCTGGTAGTCAGATGACATCTGATTTATTATACAGAGACAGTAAAGACTGACCTAGATATGCAGAAAATTTGTATTTGTGTTTTCTGTCTCGTGAGCTGTGGGTTGGTGTGTTATGGAAAGCTTGCCTTGGTAAATTTGTGTCAGTAAAGACACGCTCCGATATGACGCTTTTCAGGCAGGAGACAAGATTATCTTACACGCATTCTGTCAGATGTTTCTGAGATGTAGTGAGTTGTCCTGCTTAGAATTGTCCAGTGGCTGGTCCACTTCAAGATTAGCTGGAACAGAAAAAGGCAAGTGGGCTGTGACCCCCAGAGCAGCTGTCGGTCATCTCTGCTCTGGGAATGTCGATCATTAACCTACTTTCCAAATTGTAGAGTGCTAAATGGAACATGACATTTTTGCTCTAGCAGTGATGACTGATGAATATAATAGCAATGCCTCGCTTTCATAAACTTTTTGTCCCTCCCTGCAGAAGAGCAAAGGGATTTTCACCTAAGTTTAACTGATCCAGAGGACTAGGTTAATCACCCCATATTATAAATGGAAATAATTAAGATGAAGTAATGCAATTAGTGGAGCTCCATCTTTTAGGATTCAGACAACAGCTTTAGAATAAGGTAAATGTAACTTTTGAAGCACCTATTTTTCTCCATTGCTTATAGAGAGAGCTCAGGGTGACCAGCTCAGATGTAGAGGTGTACATTTACCACTGAATCCCACACTGGAGAACTATGGAATTTTGAAAGCTTTAAAAAGGATGGGCTAGAAGTCTTAGAGTTGCGTTCTCTAATTCTTGAGGCAGCAGTTCTGCAGGAAGCTGTCCAGTCCAGAACAGAAGTGACCTGGCAACCATTTTAAATCTTCTCTTGGTGCCATCTGATGAAAGATTATGTTTTCATTTCCCAGTCAGAGGATTAAAAGGGACAAATTATTTAGTACCCTCCCCACCGCCCAAGTTTCTGCTGCTTTGAGTGTCAGTATGTGGGGAAATCTTTGAGGGATTAAGTGTTAGATAAGTTCATGGAAATAAATTATTTAATTCCTACATCTTTACAGTCGACCTCTGCATATGTCCTCCAAGGCTAAAGAGGGAGAAAGTTCCTCAGGTATTTAGAGGCCAGAATGCTCTGTAGAGTCCACTGAAGGAGAGAATGGGGTTTGTGGGCTGATGGAGAGGAGAAGACCTAG